TCACACCCAGACCCACACATCCATCCTAGTAAGTGTTTGTAGTAATAGTTTCACTTCTGGGATAACTTTATTTTTTAAAAAATTTAAATATCTCCCGAAAACCAATTTGTATCACCAGCAGTTCTAAAGAAAGAAAGAATAAATACATAAGTAACTATAGATTGCTATTGACGGCACTATTCATTCACATCATCACCTACCGAAAAGGCCAATTCTGTTCAAAATCTGCCAACCATTGAGCATCTGACCACAATTGCAAATCGGTATAGGGCGGAATTGTTAAATTCAATTCTTTCATCACCATCCTCATCACATCATCACACCGTGCGAATATTCGCAGTGCACATTGATCATCATAGGGAGTCTTCTGTAAATCTATATGCATGGAAAGAAAACAAGAATGTATGTTGAGAAAAGCGTGAAAAAGACACAAAAGAAAGTACACTTACTGACAATGACCATCTTCTTTCGTCCAGATTTTAAATTCATAGATGGAAGTTCACATGCAGGCGAAACTCGCATTGACGTTCCCATACATAGACTTAAATCGCACATCTTTGATTCTTTAATTGCTTTATCCAGACAAACGTCAGGCATCGATTGAGTAAAGGCAACGGTTGTACAACGTAAACGTCCATTGCAATTCGGTACTGTACACTTGTTTCCCGTTAGCCAAGTTTTATGTTCATACTGATTGACACGTGTTTGTCTGTAATAGACTTTCCCACACTTTGCGCAAGCTTCACAATTCGAGTTTCCGTGTAGTTCAGCAATTTTGTCCGTAGGTATTCCACTCTTAAGGTGAAGACCATCACAGTTCTGAGAAACTAAGAATTTGAGATAGCCGTTTCTCATCAGCTCGACATAAGCCATATGTGTCAGTGTTGGTTCCGGATTGTGGACAGTCGGTGTTGGTGGTACGAAGCCTCTCGCTCGAGCTGTCCAAACACCTGTAGGACCGCGAAAATCATTGATGCCAGCTGATGTCGATATACCTGTTATAATCATTTCCAATATAGAATTTTTTTTTGTAAAGAGTGAAGGTCCTCTACCTGCTCCGGTGTAGACAACGAAATGTTTTGCAGTTCGAATGAAATCTGCTAAAGTTTTGATTTTTTGATCAAGTTCATCTATAGATATAATCGGATGAAAAGGATAAAGAGAGGCGAACTTACGAATATACCTGGCGTATCAAAATATTCCTTAATTTCTTCATCGTTAAGTGCAGTGTGTGCCATTGAAAAAAATCAAATAATATATTTTATAGATCTGAAAAAGGAAAAGACGTAGATTTATACGATTGTTCGGAAAATTATTTCAAGATATGCGAGAAGAACTTGTCATTTCGAGTGCAATTTTAAGAGATTTTGATTAATAAATCATGGAGAAATTTTGAATATTTTTAGGTTATCCAGTGTTTGCAAGACTTCGCTGATGTCACAGACTGAATCTTCTGAATGTACATGCATGATAAAATGAAGTTTATTACATTACAGAAGATTACTATACGGCCTCTACAGAAGAAAACAAGTCTCTAAAATAGAATAAAATGACTTATAGGGTATTACAAAAATACAACTCAAAATATTTCTAAACCCTAAGAAAAAGACAGAACATCCAGAACATAAGGAAAAATCTCTTGTATACGAGATCATACAAATTCTCTAGTAATAAAAGTTTGACTCGTTCCTTGCAACTATTTATATTAAATCAATATCATAAGAGCAAAACAAGTAAAAAAGAAAGAAAAAAGGATGATTCATCGAAGTTGCACAATTTTGTGAAAATATTTGCCACGTCATTTTGATCTACTGACTAATGCAAGAAACGCGCTTGCCATTTAGTGCTTATTTCAAAATATACTATGCAAAGACTTTTTTAATAATTAGACCTTATATTAAGGTTTATATATGTATTCAGAATGAAATCATCCGAGTAGCATTTTGTATAAAATATTATGCTAGTAATTTTTGAATTTAATTATTTATGATAAAGATGACACTAGTAAATGACACTGAGAAAATGCGAAAAACTAGGATGAAAATATAATATAGAGAACGTTGTAATCTATGTCTATTTTTACTGAGAAATTATTCTTTTAATATATCCAGTTATAAAATGACTGAAACAAGTGCATCAGTGAATTCGCTTTAGGAATGATGGGCTGAGTCATCCGCATCAGCTAGTAAATCATTTGTAGAGAAAGGAAGTAGTGCAATTGATAAAGATAATTGACAATGGGAGTGACTCATCGATTTTGCGCGATTTCTCAACCTAGTGACTTTATCTATAGAGAGAATCATTGCTTCTCCTGTCTTCATAGTAATCAATCGTCACTAATGCTAAAAATTCTGACTATTCGAAACGTTTCTTAAGACAAGAACAATAGACGATCATACATGTGATCATTTGATGAGATACAGTACCATCAACAATCAACACGTTTTTCTATACAAAGAGATGATAATAACTCTTAGGATATTGTTTGTGAAATTAGATATTTGATAGGCGAAACACATACTATTCTTCAACAAATAATAAACAAGCAAATATGGCTCTTTTTTGCTTCATAAAAGATCGATTTAGCATTGCTACAATGTCAACATCGCTATTAATCACTGTTTTGTATTACATTTTATACTTTATATAGAATTCCAATGATACATTATGTTGTCTCGTATATAATTCAAGTGTTATCATATTTTATTAAGGAAAATTGTTATTGAACTGTCTCGGCTAAGGTCGCCATCAATATATTTGAAAATAAATAAATTATACCACATGGATGATAATGAAGCACAATATGACGTGAAAAAAAACAGAAAATGCCCGAAACTCTACTGACAAAAAGCAGAAAACGTTTTTTGATTCCAAACCGATTTTTCAACTTTTTCTTGGTATCATAATGAGAAAGTTTCATACCACAATCCAATAATTCAGAATAATTTAACCCTTTGAGGACCAATTTTTTTTAATCGAAAAAACATTTTTCAATCTTTTTTTCATTTTAGTTTAACTCAAAATGGCTACATAAAAATCTTATGATAATAAAAAAAAACAATTTATTTTTCATCTTTCAAACAAATAATGCTAATTTGCAAGTAAAGCACTCAATGTTAGTTGGATCGAATTTCTGCTTCCTTGGTGCTACACAATAAGCAGATCTTATTGTTTCTTTCACAGGCAGCAAATGCATGGCATTGTCAAATTTAAGCACTGCAGTTTTTTGTGGTGATGATAGTATTTAGACTTCTTTTCAGAAGGAACTGAAGACTTCCACGATTTACCCATTCGTTCACTGTCGGTGGAGCAGAGAGACTTCGCCACGGAAACCATGTACATGGTTTAAACATGTTAATTTTATCCTGAGCTAACTGATTATATAGCAAATAAATGGGTTGGGTGGAAATGGATACATTTAGAAAAAAAACAAAAAAATTCGAATAAACCAGTTTTTTTTAGACTTGCGATCAAGATGGTTGCAAGATATTTATTCTTCAGGTGAGCCGATCAACTCTATGTGCAAACAAACTGACTGTAATCTTCTTTTATTGCATTTAGAGAGTTAACTGTAATAGTACGTTGACGCCATTTTTGAACCCACCGACAGCAAATCGGGACAACTTGGTTGTCTTGTCTTTATGATAATTTGAAGCCAAACGAAAACATGTTTGGTATCCATCCATATGAAGACAATGATACTGTTCGATGTGATCATTGATTTGTTGTAATCTAATCCCCTCTTTCCATTTAATCTTTTTTGGTACAATTCGACCACGGAAGATCTGCCTGCTCAATATCTACTATAATCCCGTTCCCCTATCTGATCTTTATATATTGTGTAAATTTCGGCTTTGCTAATAATCCGAGAGAGAAGTGAAAAAGTCAGTTATCGAAATATAGATGTTTTCCCTCTTTAAAATTATGACCGCAAAGATAAGATTGAAAACAACACATATTCACCAAAAGGTATGTCTCTTTTTCACTGGTTGTTTTTTCTTTTTCCTAAATAGATTTGCCATAGTTGAATAAGTAACCACTGATGATCAGATCACGTAACCATCAAACTTCATAGCTCCCTCTTTTTTTTTATTGATTTTAGAGGCAAATATTGCTTGAGAAGGCTTGATGACCTTCTGCCTCGAATTTTATCATACTTCCGTCGATTGTATCATAGCGGTGGCCAAAGTTATAATTTTTCTGGAAATTTCTCTTCGTAAAATTTCAGTAAAATTCTTAACTGGTAATCTAATAGTTTTTAGATTCTCGTTTTGGTTCTAATGAGTTATCAGTAGTCAAATGTAGATTATTATAAGGGTGTGGGTGTGAGTGTGGATGCGTTGGTGTACATGTAGGTATGGTTGTGGATGAAGAGAGCAGCTTTACTTTTCAGCTTAACAAGCAAAAAAAAGAAAGATAATAGTTGCTACATATATTAAGAACGAGTTTCAATGAAAAAACTAATATTGATAACCCTTGGAGTGTATCGTTCGAAAGACCGGCTACGTATAAGCATAATGTCATCAATGAAAACATATTGCAATTTCATCAGAAGTACTACAATTCTCTTGATCATCAATTCTTGATTTCTTGAATAAAGTGCATATCGAAAACTTGTCAGTGATTGTTTTTTATTTCCACTGAACAACAAATGTACAATAAATTTCAAATTAATCTTTTGATGATTCTTGGATTTTCCTTCATTCGTTTGTTTCTTTATCGTTAGAGGGTGCATTACTATTACGGGTAGTAAGTAATAGGATATAAGGTTATTAATTATTGTAGGTAATTAGAAATAATCTGCGAAAGTAACAGAAGAAAGAAAATAAAAATGTTATGAAGTAATATAGCATTAAAACTAGTAACTCATAGAAGCAATACTGTTTTAGCGTCAGTGACGGATCACACTGACGCTAAACGAAGATTAAGATTGTCCTTCTAGTCTAGTTGGCTTAGGACATCTGCCCGGATAGCAGAAGATGGGGGTTTGAGTCCCACGAAGGGCATCTTTTTCTTCGTTCTGTCACATA